CATTCTCTTTTCTCTCTCAGCACCAGCATGGCTAATTCTTTAGCAGCTATTTATATTGAAGTCAAGAAAAAAACTTGCATGAAGTGGCAAAAATGTATAGAGGCAAATGTCATAAATTATTTCTGCCAGCTGTAAAGAGATAGATAATATCTGGCTTTCGCTACTGTTAATATCCCACCACTAGCCTTGCAAAAAAATAGAACAGTCCATTATTTAAATGTATTCTTATGTAAATAGGCTTACGTTACATCATTTTTCACCATGTACTCAATTAGTAATAGTAAATTTGTTTTTTTAACTCTTCATTTGCCCATCTAACAAAAAACCAAACAAATGAAAATTAAAACAAAACCCTTTCCAGTTGTGATTAGTTGTGATCAATAACACTTGTGATTACGTGAAAATAAAAAATACTGATCAAAGGCTAAAAGTAGAACATAAATGACAATTCTCAGTTTGCCTGTCATTTTGTAAAAAGTGGAGGGGAATAAAATGCTGATGTAATTCTTTAATTATATGACACAAAATAGTTGAAGAGCATTCTAGACTAATATTGTAAAGGTTTCTATTTAAGTTTGTAATCTTCTCCTACTCTTAAGACTATAATTAAATGCAGACCTTGTAGTTTCTCTATCCAGCATTCTCTCTTGACTCTATTTTGCTTACTGTCCAGTCTGATGAAGAGTTCTATGAATTTGAAAGCTTGTCCATTATTTTTGACATTTTGATTGATAAAGGCATTGCCCAGCAACGAATGTTGATTTATGGTCCAGCAGAGCTTCTCTTAGGCGATTCATTAGCCACTGACATACTGGGTTACATACAAGCAACATGAGTTGGCACCAGAATCCAAATGGCAGCAGCACTGGGGAACACCCTACTTGCACTGGGGGTGGGCTATTGGAACTGATTCCTCTGCTTATTTCATGTATTTACATTAGTCTCCAGATATTGCATAATGTCCTATTTGAGTATAAGGCCTATCTGCAGAGGAAAAGAAACCTGGGGTCCAAAGACCTACCTCAAGAAGGTCCAGGCTTTTGACTACCCATGCCTCTTTTGAACACGTATCTATAAAATAACACAATACATTTCTGAAACTTGCTTCAGTTTCAAAATTGTTATATGGCATTGTAAACTATTTCAGCAATGGAAGTTCAAAGCTTCCCCCATGAAGGAATAATTGTGGAGTGTTTGGATCCTGCTCATATTTGTAAAAGAGCTACAAATATGTTCACAGGTAAAGGTAAAATGCTAGTAAGATAGTGGCAAATCTACCATGCATAACAGTGTACAGTTATCATACCTGTCTTGTATATCTAAAACAGAAAATTTCACTTATGAAAAATCTATACCTGAATTTGGCAAAAGAGGATTCCTCTTGAAACTCTCCTTTTCTGCTTCATACAGAATTATCTCTCAGAATTTCCATTAAAATTCTCTCATTGTAAGGTTATATGAATATCCTTTGACTCCAAATATAATTAACAGAGCTTTTGAAGGGTTAACTCAAAGTTCATTTGGATAAGGTGGAAATGCATATCTGCCAGGAAGTATAGATGAACTCAGGCCTTTTGCTGTCTTTAGGACAGAGTTGCAAATAATGTGAGAAGCCAGGGTTTCCAATTTGAGAATTACAGTAAACGAACCAGAGATCAAGAGTCTTGTTCAGTCACTCTCATGACAGGAGACACCAACCTAGCTGTGTGCACTATAACACTCCAGCTCACTCATGATAAGACAGGTTTTTTTTCTTTTTAAAGATCTGGCTAAACTTAACATGGCCAGTGTCTATTAATGCAAATTATACATGCAGATAAATTGTCCAGATTACATCTTTTTTTGTGAAAAAATGTGAATTAGTATTGCTTTCAAATAACAGAATTCCACTGCATTCCAATAGTGTGTGTGTGTGTGTGTGTGTGTGTGTGTGTGTGTGTGTGGAAATATATACATATTTGTCACCTTTCTTCCAAGGATGTCAAAGTGGCATGACATGGCTCTGCCTTTAATCTTCACAACAATCCTATGAAGATGGTTATGCTGGGACACAGTGACTGCTCAAAGGACATGCAGTGCAACTCATGACTAGGTGGGATTTCAACCCAGTCCCTTGAGTCTAGTCCAGTACACTAGTCCTTATACACTAGCTCTCAAAGATGTTTATCTGTTTAGATCGCAGTACTTGATGTTTCTCAGTCACTGCTAAATCCTATAATTTCTCTTAAGAATGTGAATCAAGCTAGGTAATAGGAAGGAACACACTTTTTTACTGGAAGTGACAGCATCTCTTTAAAAAATGCAGTTCTAGAAATGTTTGAAACAAACACTAGAAATGTTTGTCAGCAGACCAAGAGAGCATATATGTTAAGGAACAAGCAAGCAGGGGGCAGGTGTGACGGTTGGAAGGGGGAGATGGGGGGGGGAGGGAGAAGAGGAAGGAAAAACATGAACTAGACATGGCCATGAGTGAAAAGGGGATCACCAATGGTTATCAATAGCTATTAGCCTTGCTAGGTATAGGCCATCTTTATTATCACAGGTAGCATGCCTGAGGAGTTTGGGCAGCAGAAGTCTTGTACCCATCCTGCTTGAGGGACCCTGTGGACAGCTGGTTTGCCACAGAGTCTGAATTGGATAGACAATTGGTCTGACCCAGCATGTCTTTTCTTATGTTCTAATAAAGGAATGCAAGAGAAAAGCATTAAATAGATAAAAGTAGAGATGTTTTGAGACAACATCATCTAGGCCATATTGCATGATACACTAAATCACTGTTTCAAGAAGCTGCCTCCAAGTTTCTAATCAGGTCATATATAAAACTGTCAACAGCCAGGTCCCACTAGTTGTGAAGGTCTTAAGCAAGGATAATAGGTTAGAGAAAGCATATATCAAAGGACTGGGAAAGAGGCAGCAGTGAAAACAATACTTTGGTAGCTGAAACAACAAAGTAGTAAGATAGTGAGATGGGTTCATGAGGATAAGTATCATATGTATGACTATAACATGTGTCTTTGGATAGTCAATATATGTTATTTTCCTCAGTTAAATGCAACAATAATAGTATTTCTCTGTACTACTAAATTAAGATTACAGAGCACTTTGAATATCTATACATATTTCCAATATTTGGTTTGTGAATATCATTCATTATGCTGAAATGGCACTACCCGTAGACAAGGAGGAGAGATCAGCATGTTCCAAGCAGAAACTTTGCAGAAGTACAAAAAATCTTTAAAGGAAAATAACCTTGAAAAGAAGAATCCTAGAACAGTTCAATAAGGACTAAGCATTCCCAGTGGCCATGAGTTATAGATTGATTATTTGGAGAGGAAACTAAACAAGAAGAAAGGGAAGTACATGGAATCACTGAAATCCTGATCAGCAGCATTATATACCGCAACATTTAGCTGAAAATCTACTAGTGTCAATATATTTTCCAAGCACTATCATAGTGATTTCAAATATTGCTGTCCAATTTTAGTGAGGAGCAGATCACTCATAATTCAGATAACTGTACCAGTATTTTAATGATTCTCCCATTTTCATTTTAAAAGTCAATATTAAAATCTATGCAGCAGATCCACTCTTTTAATATTAAGTATTTTAATACCAAATGAGAAATGATGCATTCAAGTTCGCATAGCACCAAGCCCTTTAATGCAATGATAAGATGGTGGGAAGGGATGGGAGCTGCTTTACTATTAAGAGTTCTTTACTGTCAGGCTCCATAATGCAGCATTTGTGGGCACCATGAAGTACACAGGGACCTCCAACTGCCCCGTTCTAGCTCTCCACTGCCTGCCCCCTTCAAAACATGGAGAAAAAAAAACCCTTGGAAAACATCAGGCAGTCCCCCTGCCCTTGCCCTTGCCCTTGCCCTCTAGCCTCTCTTTCTCTCTACCTCTTTGCCTTGCTATTCCACACTCCCTCCCAGCCTGTAGCCTTTTTATCTCCTGCACTCCTCTTTAATTCACTTTTGACTAACAAGTACCTCATGGCAGCCGTTATGTGACTAGCCACATCTTTCATAGGAACCATTTTGTGATGTTGCCCACAGATGTTTCTAATACTGCCAAATGTGCCCACAAGTCCAAAAAGTTGGGGAGCCCTGCTCTACAGCTTTGTATCTCAGTAGTCTTGAGAAAGCTCTATTTCACTCTTTATAAATATACCGAACTACTATCAAATGGAAAAGAATAACCCAAATATGATTGCCCTATTAGGAACTGCAACTTCCCACCCCTGCAATATGCGATATCTTCAGCAGTACATCTCCTTTGAGCAGCTGTAATTCTAAACAGATACATTTCATTTGCATTTATTTCATCATCATCTACCTCAGCCTATAGTCCCTTTTGATCAGTCTCTTAAGAGTTGGTGCAAAAAATATACCCTCCCCCACAGCAAAGCAGCATATTCAAAATTGGCAGTGGAAAGAAACACAAACTTTTAAGAACTGCAAAAGTTTCCCCTTTAACAAAAGTATCCTAGCATAAGAAACAAGTTTTATTTACTAATACAATCTTTATTTTATTTTTTACAATAATCTTCACAAGTCCCCCAAACTACTGAATAGGGATTCTGAGAATGAAAAATAATGCAGGAACTGACATTAAAGATAAAGTTAACTCAAAGAACAAACAAATTTAATGGAAATAGTAGTTCATAAATGTGTATCTGTAGATAAAAGACAACTGCTTAACCACATCAGAATAAAGAATGAAAAGACAAAACAATAGTTGAATGTAAGACTTTATGCCCCACTTTAATCTCAAAATTTAAAATATATTGGTGAAATCTGTGGAAATATTTATTACTGTCGATACAAGAAGTTCATGAGGAAATAAATTATTCTTATACTAGCAGCTAGCCAAACATACATGCATGAAAAAACAAAAGCTATAGTTGTTTCAAGAAAAACACACATCCATCCCACCTGAAGTATTTACAGTGCTGTTAGTAAACTATCTGCTATTGACTTTGTCAGAATTACTTACCCCTGATTTATCACAAAGTCGCAAAGTATGAAAAGACCCCACAGCAAATAGTTCTCCATCCAGAGCCCAAGCAACAGAAGTGATAGGGTACTCATGAGACTGTGAGCTATACAACAGACGACCGTAACTATCCCAAACCTTTTTAAAAAAAGAAGCATGTTATTTGTTTACTGGAAATATATTTCAGAATTAAAAACAAGTATTTCGCATGCTATGCCTTGACAGGAAGCAGTGGTAACTCAGATCTCAGATAGGAGTGAATTCCAGAGCTGGGTGCTACCATGGAAAAGCCCTTCTCCTTGCCATCTCCTGCTTAACTTCACTAAGGGGAGGGATAAGAGAAGGGTCTCAGCTGATGACCTCAGTGACCAAATTGGTACATATGGAGATAGAAGTTTCCTGAGATACCCTGGCCCCAAGTTATTTATGGCTTTATATGTTATTGCAAGCACCTTAAATCATGCCTGGACAGCAACTGGCAATGTAGCCTGTTCAGGACTGGGATGATAAGGTAGCGCATACCTGTCCTGTTAGAAGTTGCACTGCTTGATTCTGGACAAGTGGCAGTGTCCAGATTATTTCCAAGGACTGTCCCACATAGAATGTGTTACAGTAATCCAAACACAAGGTGAACGGTGCATGGATAACTGTACCAAGGCTCTATTCACCAAAGTAGGGATGCAACTGATATACCAGCCGAAACTGGTAAAAAGCATTCCTGGCTACTGAGTCCACCTGTGCAACAAGTGACAAATCCAGAAGCACTCTGGGGCTGCAAAGCTTGTCCTTTAGGGGAAGCGCAACCCCATCCAGGACAGGTTGAAAATTCTCCAGTTGGATACATAGACTCCCCACCAACAGTACCTCTATCTTATATGGATTGAGCCCCAGCTTATTGGCTTGCATTCAGTCCATTGCCAAACTCAAGCACTGGTCAACAGAGGCTGCCACCCCTGGATTTGATGAAAACAAGAGTCCATACCTGCTGATGACCTCTCCCAGTGGTTTCATGTAGATATTGAAAAGCATGGGGACAAGATAGAGCCCTGTGGGACTCAAAGGTGAAGAGTCCATGGCACAGAGCAAATGTCCCCCAGCAACCCCATTTGCAGATGGTTGGACAGATAGGAGCGGAGCCACCACAGAATGGAACCATCAACTCCTAATTCATCCAAGTGCTCCAGAAGGATAGCATGGTCAATGGTACTGAAAGTCTCTGAGAGGCCCAGGAGAATCAACAGGGTTGTGCTTGCCCTGTCTCTCTTCCAGGAGAGGTCATCCCTCAGGGCAGCCAAAGCAGTCTCCATTCCAAAGCCAGGCTTGAAACCTGACTGAAATGGATCAATGTTTTAGTTTAGTGAATGTAGTCCAAAAAAAGTAACTGGGCTGGTCCTATTGATCTCAAGAGGTTCAGCAACAGAGCACATGGGTTGCAAGCAGAAATCCCCGGCCCAATCCCCCACATCTATACATAAAAGGATCACAAAACAGTTGATGTTAAAGAACTCTGCCTAAGATTCTAGAAAGTCAGAGCACCCAATATTATATTGTATTCTAGTCTTTCTAAAATACAAAACAAATATCTATATTTAAAAACTGATATGGATTTTAGTCTTTTAACTTTTTGTCAACCTGGGAGAACACTAGTTATTGAGTAGATTTTGACATGGTATAAGGCAAACCTGCTACATTTTAAAAGATGCATGAGTAGGTCATACTCCTACTGATTTCAGGGAGACTAAAGGCCACTTTGCAAGTTAAGACTTTAACGGTGTATATGTTACACACAGAAATGTGATTTGATTTCAGTGAAATTGCATGAATAATTTATTTTGGACAGCATTCACATAAAATAAAACTTAAGAAATCTCCACTGAAAATGTTATACCATTTAAATTAATAGTTTTGATTTTACAATGTATTCACCTATTTTTCAAAATGCAATTTTTTTGGTTCTTTTTCTACCAGTTTCATTTTTACCTTACAAAACTGGGGTGAAACATAAGAAATATGTTTTAAAGTATTCAGACATAAAAAGCCTTCTTGCAATATACTGAAGAAATTTCAAGGAATGTACACTATACAGTTGGTTTATTTTACTTCACTGTTTTCTGATGGCTGATAACATACTATCATAAATATATATTGTTGAAATATTATATACCTTATATTTGCAGTCTTCACTAGCTGACAGGATAAGATCATTGACAGAGTTCCAATCAACTTTTAAAATAATTCCATCATGGGCTTTCCACTGAGAAAAAGGCAATAACAGAATATATTGAAAAATCAAGAGATTTCAATTATTTGCATATGAAAAATCTTATAATGTCAAGATATAATAACTTACTTAACAACACAAAATAATTAACAGAGCATGGTTTTAGCCTGATGAGCCAGTTTTTATAAAAATAGTAGCACATTTTTAAAGAAAACTCATTTTTATAAGGCATGTCATACTAAAACTGGTGACTTTATATGCATGTTGAGATCTCTGCAAATTATGTTGTACAATCCATATCTAAACATTTGGGTAGATAAAGTTTTAAAACATGCACTCTGTATTTTTGTCCATTTCAAATAATTAAAATGCAGTAAATTCAGCAATGCAACAATGCTGCATTCAGCTGCATTCAAACAACAATGAATAGTTGTTTATACTCTGCAACTCAGGTTTATGAAGACACTGTAGTTCCTTCATTTCAGCATATATGCATTTCAGAGTGTCATGGGATAGTGCCCATGTAACTTTCATGATGGCTTAACTGTGGTCAGTGAGCTGCAAGATTGTGTACTCCCTCTCCCTCCCAGCTCCTTTCTGCTGGAGTACAAATCTCTCCTTCGTTCACTGTCTTTAAGTGTTATGCCAAATGTGATATGAGTACCACCCTGAACTAGTTTTAAACTCTGAGCAGCTTTAATTGAATTTCACATTGGGTCCATGTAACACAACCATGGTTAAAAGGAGTATGTGGCCATGCCAACACAATGAGGAATGTCTTTTGTACATTGGTCCTAAGACAGATGTTTACCTCTAAGATGAGGATCTCAGGACTATGTGAGCAGAATGCCCAATCATTTCATAATTTCTTTGATCCTGTTGTACTAGTGTGCATGCTGGTGCTCAGTTCCACAAATATGTAATTCTCTACTCCATTAGTCCCCAAAACTAATGTGCCTGGTTATGATCCTGCCATCATGGAATTCTCTGTACACATCGGTACCCTGCAGCAGGTGTACAAATCAGGTCACCACATTCTGAAACATTTGTTATATAAATATCCCTCAACAATATGAAACAGTATATGCATGTCACATTATTGGTACCTGCAGAACTTTAGCATTTGGTTGAAGTGGTTTGATAATCAGCTGCTTTCCTGATGTATAAAGGATCTTTTCAGAATCTGGACCCCATGCTACTGAATATATTGGTGTTCCTGAAGAAATGCAGTAGAAAGATGAAAGAACCTGGGATATAGTTAGAAATCCTATCAACATGCAAATTAACATCTAATACTTTCTAACACTGATTTTCTACTTGTTTTTAAAAAGTGAATTACACATACTGTCAAAATAGATTAAAGTAATAGCAAAAAGAGAAGCTGCTATTGCACAGCTGTTTGGTATGCTTTTTTAAAAAAAAACACTATTTGAAATGGTTCAGGGAGGGGCAGCTTCATAAGCATGAAAATGCGTATCTCATGGTCAGAAGACAGAAGAGGTTGATTAGCAGCAACGATTCAAGTTAGTGATTGCACTGCCTCATCTAAAACAAAATTATAACTCCAGGTATACTTTACAAGTACACAAACATGTTCCCAAGTATCCACTAATCCAGTCTATTTTTCCTAGATTTCATGTGGGGAAGCACCCTATGTAGTTTTTTTTTGGGGGGGGGGGCACTTTTGTGGCCCTGGGCTGACCTCACTTTCAAAAGTATGAATAATGTAGAAGCACAAGGGCTCCATTAAAACAAACAAACAAACAAACACACACCATACCAGCCAACAAACAGAACCTGTAAGACAAAAGAGTATTTGGGGGGAACATCCCCTCAATCTCACCCTTATAAGTATGGATCCCATGCTAGGAAGCTCCAACACTGGACAGCACCTCAGGAAGTGGCAAAACCTGAGGGAAACTCCAGTACCAAGTCAGTGTGAGGAATGTCATTTAAAGGAGCAAACCTCCTTCTCTGGATGGGTTTCCCCCCAGGTTTTAAAGTGTCCCTGCTGCTAGCAGTGTAAGGGGCATGGTCAGCACCTGGGGGTCATCTGGGACAGCAGTATTGCCCCAAGAAACCAGAAAATTGCACTGAAAAAAGGGAAGTTAGCTCTTTCTGCTAAGTGTAGTCATGAAGGACTTTACAAAAAGCCAACCTGTCATGCTTTGACAAGGTGAGTTTGTGCAAAGTGGAAGGAGGAATACTTTATTTTTTAAAAAGCAGGTGATCATGGCCAACCCCCACATCAGTACTCCTGAGCATCCTGATGGAGGCACCTCCTGGATGCCTCAAAACAGAATCAGGAAATCCACCTCAAATTGCAGCATTTGCTATCTTAAAAAAGTTGAAAAGTCATGCCACAGCCAGCACGAAATGTTTTATGCTGCTTTGCCATTAGCAGGTGGCTGGGAAGGAAAGCTCTTAGGAAAGAGCAGCAAGTTTTTCTGCCACTCTTGCCAAGGGAATCTCTGGTTTTAGAGCTTGACCATAGATTATGGATTGTTTCCCTATTTATTTTTACTCTGTATTTCAGAACAAAATCTAAACACAGTGAGAAGAGGAAAAAGAAAAAAATTGAAAATTTTCTAACATAAGATTTAAAGTAACCAATAGTACTAAATAAAAGACAAATATTCCTATATATTTTATATGTAGCAAAGTATTATTAAAAATAATCATGCAAAAACTTCAACAAAGGCAGGCCAAATATGCATATATTTTTCCTCTTGTAAATTACACCATTAAAAATTGTGACGTTCATTGCCCTCGCCCATTGCATTATAGCAAGTGCTTGTTTATCCTAACAGTGTTGTAGTGTTAGACTTTTAGCTTTCAGGAAGGCACTGAAAATCTATTTGAATTAACCTTGAATTAAATTCTAAGATGTGGGTAGATTATTAGAAAGAATGTGTCTATCATTAAATATTAAATAATTTTTCATCAAAAAATATTACCTCTCAGAAGGAAGCAAACATTGGGAATCTCAGCAGAACATATTTAGAAGAGAAGCATTAGCTGCACTGCATCTCTAGCACTTGGCCAATTTAATTAAGACTTTATCCAAAAAGATGTTGCATTGCCCAATATACTCAAAATATCAATTTTTGATTAATTAAATATAACCTTAGGTCTATTACCTTCCAAAATAGTTGACAATGAAGCACTCCTTTGATTAGGCAAATCAGAGTCCTCCAATTCATTGTTCCAATATGGACTAAGACCCTGTATATTATGTTTATTTAATGAAAATGGATCTTGATGCATACATGTAGCTGATGCAACTATTAAATTTCAAACTATACTTCCATTAACACAAGCAGTTCTGAAGATGTGAAAGAAGTAGGGCCAAACTTTCAAATAATTGCAACTGATGTGAGAATATACAACATATCTCTATAATTACCATAACTTGTAGGAGGCACCCTATCTGCTTTGGTATAGCAGAAACCAAGTGTAATCCATTTGGGAAGAGGTACAAACATGACCAAGGAGATCAGACTAAGGAGAAAAATCTAGTCTTCATGGAAAAGTATCTAGTACAAATCAGGAGATAAGCCCAATATTATAGGGAAAAATCATCAAGTTTGAATGACACAAAAAGCCATGACTACATATGCTATAGGACAGGAAAGTGAGTATTAGATTTTACCAATTATTTTGCACAGCATTCATTTTATGAAGTGCCTGATCCTGCCTAATCTTGGAAGCGAAGTGGGGTCATGCCTGGTCAGAATTGCGATGGGTGACTTGAGTGTATGATTCTATGATTATTATTGTAAACTGCCCAGAGAGCTTTGGCTATGGGCAGTATAAAATGATGATGATGTATATATTATCACCAGTGGGCCAATAGGTCCAAACATAAGACCCTACTAGGGAAGCATCTGGGCTTCAGTTGACACCAATGTCAATCACCACCATAGGGCAGAATTTCAGATTGAACCCCTATAATCTGAGCAAAATAACCTGGTGTGTATTATTTAGTTTGTTTATCCCCCTTGAACCTCAACACTGATGAGTTTAAGACCCTACAGTTCTACCCAAATAGAGCAGGAAGTCCAAGAGAATAGATGGAAATATTCCTCAATTATTCATATTCAAATACCAGATCAGACCTAAAAGTTCTGATAGAGCCTAATGGCTATTGCATGACCTGTGCTACTCTGTCTGGAATTTGCTTACATCCTTGGCATATCATCTGTGCATAATACGAAACATAAAAATCCATTGACACAGTATTAGAGCTATAGATTTTAATAATGTTAGTCATGCCTTTATAAGATAGCTTTTTGAAAGGAGACTCCTAGAGCATGAGTATGATTTCAGGAGTGATCAGCTACAGGACATGAGTACTGACTGAACTCTATGTATGTAGGAACTGTGTGCTTGACACCCATGAGGTTCCAGGTTCTGTGCTCTTAGACTACACCATCCTGATCCCAAAGCCATTACATATCACCTTTTTAATATTAGCACTATTTCAGGGTTAAATTTTGTGGAATGAAGTCAAGCTTTTCCCACAGTAACATTTTCTTTCTGATAATCCCTCATTACTGTACTACCAATAGAAAAGTAATAAAACAGAACAGCACTAGTGGAGACTCCGCTAAAAACCATTATTCAACAGCAGCTGGGGGTATAGTGAAGAAGATTAGGAGAGGCTCTATAGAGGTGGCTGCTTCTAACAGAGGCAGGAAAAGATAAGGAAGGATGTTGAGTACAAGTTAACATTCCAACATTGTGTGAGCTTAGGTCTGTTCTTGATATGTATTAGCTAGCGTTACAATATTGTCACAACTGGTATGTTGGCGTGTCTATATGTGATTAAATGGATTCAATTACTTCATTAAAAATATATCAGAAAGTCAGAGCACAATCCCTTTAATGAAATGAGGTTTTAATGTACAGATGTTATCCATGGATTTTTGCTTCTTTTCATTCACACTGAAAACAGAGCACAAATCTGACATATTGTACCATTTGTGCTACCTGAGTTATGAATGTATATTTATAGAGTGTTGTAATTGCAATACAAAGTATTAGAGTACTGAGTGCAGGTAACACAATGCTCTCAATTAATAAAGTGTCAATCCAATAATACTAGATTGCAGCAATGAATGTTTTCAATAGAAACCACGGGTTTATAACAATCAACACATTTGCTAATAGCAAGTATTTTCTGAATTAGGACCCAGTTTGTAAATGAACTCTTACAGTTTTAACATTTGATTTAGAAATGCAAGGTCTTTACCCAACTCACTTCCCCTTTCCCCAGTGTTTCATCTTCCCTACTAGTTCTCTCATGTTTACTCATATTTCTATTGCTGGAAAGATTATTGTGGGAGTACCCTACCTCCAGGGGATGCAGATGGCACAGTGATTTAAACTGCTGTGCTGGTTGAGCAAAAGGTCGCCAGTTTGAGTCTGCACAATGGGGTGAGTTCCCGTTGCTCTGTCCCAGCTCCTGCCAACCTTGCAGTTCAAAAGCATGCAAATGCAAGTAGATAAAAAGGTACCACTTCGGTGGGCAGGTAACAGTGTTCCGTGCACTTTGGTGTTTAGTCATGCTGGCCACATGACCACGGAGACTGTCTGCGGACAAACGCTGGCTCCCTCGGCTAGGAAATGGAGATGAGCGCCGCCCCCTAGAGTCAGGCATGACTGGACTTAACGTCAAGGGGAAACCTTTACCTTACCCTAATTCCTTTGTTCATTTCTTTAAAAAGGTTTTAGCCTTGTTGCATGTTTCCCAGACTGAGGATAACTTACAAAAGAAGCTGAAAAGGAGAATCAAGAGGTCAGATCTCTTAAGGACACTTGGGGGCTCTTTAAATTCACTGTAACAGAACCTAAGGTGAAATGCATACATAGATTACAATAGGCACAAACAAGCCTTTCTTGTTTTCAAGTAAAAATGCTTTAAAGGACAAGAAGGTGTCCTTTGAAAAGTGAAAAGTATGATCTAAATGTGAGTGAAAGGAAGCATACATCCTAACAATTACAAAAAAGTTGACAATGAAGCAAGGAAAACTGAACTGAAAAGTTAACAAGATGACAGTGTGTGACCAGGTTCAGATATCTTGCGGCAACTCACAGTGGGTTGTGTGTGCCCAAAGAAACCTAATTGCATATATCTCAGCTTGTTTCCAGATTAGGACAGGTCAGCAGAGCTCCCTTCTGAGAGCTCTACTAAGGTACCCCATTGCATTGCAG